AGTCATATTTTCCAAAGGGGGGAAAAAAAACACACTTCTGTGACTGGGAACAAGAAACAATGTTTCTGCTGCAAGGTACTACTGCCCCTGGTCCTAACCTTCTAGGTATTGTTTGGGAAAACTTGGGCATCCCTAGGGTCATCATTTCACATTGGTGAGATAAAGGATATAACACTAGTTATAAAAAATGTTCCCTTTTCATAAACCTCTATAGTCAGGTCCCATTTTTCAAACCCTTTTGTCCCAGCAAGAATAATTTTCAACACACAAAATAATTGGATGAAAGTATACTAATAGTTTTATTTGACATATTGCTAAGTATACTAGTACTATTGCATTTCATCATTTTCTCTCTATTCTATCTGGTTCAAAAATAGGCAATGTGCTGTGTCACCATATATGGCATGCAATGTTTTTCTTCTGTGTAGAATTTCTGGGAAAGTCTCTATAGAAAATTGTTCCTAGTTGTGCGGTCTTCAAATTCAAGCATAGTTATGGAAATCTTCCAACTCAAAAAGGAAGAAGGTTAAGTCTTGTAACTTAAGTATATTTATTTTATCATTAAAAGTTCAGCTCTTTCAAATTTTCATCCTTGATCATATCATATATTTTAGCACAAACAGAATGTTCATCAAATCATGACACTTCCTTTAGTCAGTCATGAGTTCTGTTTTAACTAAAAAAGTATTATGGTGTACAGCCTACATACAAATGCAAAATTTCAAACATTTGCAAGGTAATTAGTTATACCTATATTTTTACAGCTGCAGATACTAAGTGTATTGGAACAGTTGACATATTATGGTATTCCTCTTTCTTTCTTTAACACACACATAGGCGCGCGCACACACACACACACTTTTCCCATAATGTGTCTAGTTCTATTTAATTCAGTCAGTTATGTAAGAGAATAACTGGGACAAAATTTATTCTAATCCAGCTTTGACAATGCTTGTGCTGTAAAACTTTTATTTAAAAATGAATGCGCTAAGGGTAGTGTTCTTTTTAACATAAATCTTTTCAAAACAACTGTCCCAAGATGATGCCTCCAGTGTCTTAAAAGTGTCACTCTAGGAAGAGTAAGGACTTTAGCATAGGCCTGGCAGAAAAAAATCTCTTCTCTCCTTTCTTGTTCTAATTCACTTTCTACTTTGTAATACTTAGAAAGTCTTTTTACAGAGTGTTACTTCCTTTTAATAACATTTGATACATTAACTTCAGTTCTTCAGAGGAAAAGCAGTCTGTCAGCATGTATAATGGGGTCAACCTCTGGGCATTTAATTATTCATACTTAGCAAAGACTATATAGCAAAGGTACTGTTTACGTATATGTGTGTGTTAGTCGCTCGGTTGTGTTTGACTCTTTGCGACCCCAGGGACTGTAGCCCGCCATGTTCCTCTTTCCAAAGAATTCTCCAGGCTGGAATACTGGAGTGGGTTGACATTTCCTACTTCAGGGGATCTCCCTGACCCAGGGATGGAACCTGGGTCTCCCACATTGCAGGCAGATTCTTTCCCATCTAAGCTACCAGGGAAGCCCACTTATGTATAAACATAAACATATATATTATACATAATATATGCATATATATATTCTAACTTATTGAGATATTACTTTACAACGTCTTGTTAGTTTCTCTGTACAAGAAGTGAATCAGCTATGTAGATACATAAACCCCCTCCTTATTAATCTCCCTCTGGTGGGAGACGCCAGAGCCATGTCAGAATTATTCAGAAACCATGTTATTAATGAAAAACCATATGTAATAAATGTTTTGAGCAGCACAAGGGATTTTTTGAGGATGGTTTACATACATTCTCTTTGTGTCTTCTGGTCTTATCTATAGCTAGACCACCCAGTTAGATGTCAGGACACTAGAGAAGAAAAAGATGGGATTGGGAGTCAAGCACAACTTGATAAAATCTCCTCTACTCTCTTATTATGGGTCAAATAGAGACAAAGCAGTTGCATTCTATGAATTCCAAGGTCTAGATGAGTTAAAAAATGCTATCTCACATAATAATAAAGCATTGTAAATTGTTAAGAACTGCAAATTGTCAAGAATGGACCATCCCATACCACAAGGCCTAGTATATAGGCAAAATGCTTTAATTACTTTAAGTTTCTCAAATGATTATTTAAAAAAATTAAAAAGCTTTTTTGTCTACTTACATGACCTCATATAATGACTTATCTAATCTCCTGAATACATACTCCCTTACAAATAAAAATTTTCATAAGAATGTAATAGAATATAAGTCTTCAAAGAATTAATAAATAGCCATAAATGAAGATCAGCGTATGCTTTAATTTGTTTAGGAGAATTTACTAAGACATTTTGAATTGTAGTCTTTGCAAATACATTAGATATACCTTTTAATATACTTAAGTATGATGTTTAGAAGCCACTGTTTAATCACAGATACATACATGTACTTATACTTTTAAAAATAATACTTTTTGTTAATTTTTTCTCTGATATAATGTGAATAGTTTCCATACAAATGTTTTCTGAGTTATTTGCTTGCATTTGCATGTATCATCATGGTTCTCGACATAAGAATAAACCAGGGGCTAGATCTCTTGATCTTCATCATTTAATAAATTATTGAATTAAAAAAAAAAAACTTCAGATAATTGTTAATGTAGGAAAGGTAGGCTACTTTCCAAATGAGTCCGCATGACATTAGAATAAACCAGGGGCTAGATCTCTTGATCTTCATCATTTAATAAATTATTGAATTAAAAAAAAAAAACTTCAGATAATTGTTAATGTAGGAAAGGTAGGCTACTTTCCAAATGAGTCCGCATTGGCTTTTCCTTAAATGTAGCTTTCCCTTGGCATTCTATTCTTCAGAAATCAAAATTTTAAACTGATATATTCTTCACTTTCACAACATCATAAATTCCTATATATGAATATTTTAAAATATATATCTCTAGCACAGACTTTGCCCTTGCAGTATAAACATATATATTGAACTGCCTTCCAGAAATGAAAAGCTGCTGTCCCATGGGTATATCAAAACCACAGTGTCTAGAACTAAAAGCATTAATTTTCCTCCAAAAATCAATACACTTTAATTATATCATCATTATTCGTGTTACACAATCATAAACCTAGAATGTGTCTTCAAATATTTTATTCCTCTCAGTCTGTACATAATTGTTAGCATAGCCCCATTTCTCTACCTTTTAACAATTTTTATGTCTTTCTGCCCTGTCTCTGCTGACACTGCCTTATTTCAGGTAAACGCCTCTCACACAGATTTTTCACTCTAGTCTATGAACTAGTCTAGATGAATTTGCTCTCAGAATTTGACAGAGAAGTCTATCCTTTCTCCAGCCAATCTTCCCAACCCAGGAATCAAACTGGGGTCTCCTGCACTGCAGGAGGGAATCTAAAACTTATAACAACAATAAAAATGTGGTCCCCATTGTCTGTGAACTTCAAATAATTAATCAATTGCTTCCTGTTGCCTGCTAGGTAAAGTGAAGAATTCTTAGTGAAGTGTGAAGAGTTCATCATAATCTGCTCCCTGCCGATCACTCTAGAGTTATTGTCTTCACATGCGACTTCCATAACCCTGAGCCATCAGTCGAATGGAACTATTTGTTCATCAGAAGCTCCCTGTGATTTGCTACTATGCCTAGAGTACTGAAGCTGCATGCCAAGATATAACAACACTGTTATGCTCGTAAGCAGCTTTCCAGTCCAAATAAAACTGACCACTCGTTTTTGCACCAACTATAAAATTTGAAAATGTTTTATTTTTCATTACAGAAAATTTCCTTTCATATATAATATAATCTAAATTCTTTTTGGCCACAAAATATGCTCATTGAAAGCTGGAATCATGCCTCATCACCCATTGAGTTTCCTCAATTCCTGTGGTTAGAATAATAGCTGACTGAAAGCAAGTGTCTATTACTGTTTATGCTCTTGGGTTCCAAAATTTACACTGTTTATCACTCTTGGTTCCAAAATCATTGTGAACAATGACTGAAGCCACAAAATTAAAAGATGCTTGCTCCTTGACAGAAAAGCTATGATAAACCTAGACAATGTATTAAAAAGCAGAGAGGTCACTTTGCCAACAAAGTTCCATACAGTCAAAACTGAGGCTTTTCCATTAGTCATGTACAGGTGTGAGAGTTGGACAATGAAGAAGGCTGAGAACTGAAGAACTGATGCTTTTGAACAGTGTCCCTTTGACAGCAAGGAGATTGAACACAGACAATCCTAAAGAAAATCAACCCTGAATATTCATTGGAAGGACTGATGCTGAAGCTGAAACACCAATATTTTGGCCACCTGATGTGAAGAGCTGACTCGCTGGAGAAACTCTGATGCTGGGAAAGATTGAAGGTGGGAGGAGAAGGGGATGACAGAGGATTTGATAGTTGAATGGGATCACCAGCTCAAGGGACATGGGTTTGAGAAACTTTCAGGAGATAGTGAAGTCCAGGGAAGCCTGGCCTGCTGCAGTGCATGGCATCACAAAGAGTAGGACATGACTGAGTGACTGAACAACATCACTGTTTATAGAATAAATTAATCCCCAACCAATACTTATTAATTCATTTATCAAGCAAGTTGGGTGAATGTTCTTCATGCCCAACCCAGGGGAAAATTAAATTGAGTGGGAAATTCCAGGGATAAAAAGAATTATTTTTATAATGATATTGGTGATGATTAAAAAATGCCTCAAAGTACTCTGAAAGAAACAACCTCTGTGGGTTGGTGGGATGATAGGGATGGGGGTGGGCAGTTGGGGATAAAGGCAATGTAATGTGAAAATTATAACAATAGGCAAGTAATGAATTTTCAGGGATATGGTGTGGAACTTATAAATGATATTATAAATACGTAACCCAATTGCTGGCAATAGCAAACTGGATTAGAGAGCTATTATGTCTTTCATTTTATTTTGCCTTTTGATCAAAAGAAATAAAATTAGAATATTCTTAAGTTGATTACATGCATTTATGGTTATACCTCATTTATCTCACAATATTGAGGAAGGACATTGTTATTCATATTAATGAAATAATCAGATAACAAAGGATCCTTTAAACAATGATGGCATCATGAAGAGCTCTGCAGTACTTCTTCCTAAAGAAGCAAGAAAATCTGGTGAAAACCACTGATACAAATAAATTTTCTATAAACTGACCGAGAGAAACACTAAGAGCACTGTATTAAAGAAAACAAGTATTAATTTAAGAAAGTCTCCTAAAATTCTGTAAGAACAGTGGAAGTCTAAGCATCTGAGTGACAACCCTCTTCCTCCCCTCCCCCCCCCATCACCCAGGTTAACATGATGGAGGCTATACTTACATATCCCCTGGTAACTCAGATCGTAAAGAATCTTCCCTCCTTGCAGGAGACCTGATTTCAATCCCTGGGTTGGGCAGACCCCCTGGAGAAGGGCATGGCAACCTACTCCAGTATTCTTGCCTGGAAAATTCTATGGACAGAGGATCCTGGCAACCTACAGTCCATGGGGTCACAAAGAGTTGGACACGACTGAGCAAATCACACACACAAATGCTTGGGTAGGTGTGGCCAAGAAGACAGAGATTTTTCTGTCCTCACCCCCGAAGTCAAGAGTGACTGTATCTGTGAAAGTCTGCTCACCAACATTTCTTACCCCTTTAACACTAAGTTGAAGGAGCCAAGTGCTTGGTGAGCCCATTAGGTTAGGAGCTCCTTTCCTTTACCAAACCCCTACACATAGGACAGAGGTTCTAGCCCAGGCGTGGCCAGCCAAGAACACTAGTGTGAGTGCCTTCACTCCAGCCCGCGTTTGGGTAGATGTTGCATGCTGCTGAGGCTAGCCGCAGGGACCAGAGTCTGTAGTGGCAGGCGACGCACAGTAGTGGCTTAGGGAATCCTCTCAGAATGAGAGGAAATCCACAAAAACAGAGATAGCTCCAAACTTACCCCCAAGGTTAACAATTTTATCTGAAAGAAAGTTTGGGGAAGTTCCCTTGTAAGGACACTGAAAGCAATATGCTTAATTAAGAGCAATAAGTTAAAGCACAGACCATCTAGGTCACCAGAGACAAAAAGGAAAACCAAACTAAGACTAGGCCTGCTGGTGTCAGAGCACTGCCATCTCAGGGTGGCTGTGTATGTTCTCAAGGTTGTACCCTCCATGGACACCAAAGCTGAACAGTATAGTAGAAATTAATTTTATCAAAGTAGCCAAGTTTCAAAAGAAATACACAAATAACAAGAAATCAAGCCATGGAGAGGAAAGAAACCAGTCTCCAGGGTTGCTGAAATACATTTCTGAAAATGTCCTGTTCTCAACAACAAATTATGAGAAAAGAAAGAAGCATAAACTACGACTTACACATGTTAAAGCAAACAGACACATAAAAAATCAAGACAACAGAAACGTGTCAGGTTTAATGGGTAGACTTCAAAATAATCATTATAAGTATATTTAAGGAACAAAAGGAAGCCATGGTTAAGGAAGAATAGAAAGATATGACAATGCCTCATCAAATATAAAACATTAATAAAGAATTAGAGATAATTTTTGAAAGCAAAGGAAATTCTAGAGTTGAAAAGTACAGTGTTTAAAATTCAAAATTCTTTAGGGGAACAAAATAATATAATTAAAATTGAAGAAAACATCTGCAAACTTGAAGTTATATCCATGGAAGTTATTCAATCTGAAGAATAAAGAGAAAATATAATGAAGAAAAATTTAATGGAGCCACAGAGATGTGAGACTCCTTTAACAGGACCAATATAGTATAATGAAAGTACCACAATGAAAGGAGAAGAGAAGTGAAAAATTAAAAAAATATGTTTAATATTCCTGAATTTGCTGATAAATACTAAACTATATATACCAGAATCTCAACCAACTGAAAATAGAATCAATGCAAAGAGATCTATATACAAATACATGATAGTAAAAATACTGAAAGGCAGAGGAAAAATTTGAAAGCAGAAGGAGAAAAATCACTCATCAATTACGATGATATTAACACCTGACTTCTAATGAGAAAACTTGGTGGTCATATGGGAAGGTATAGTCAAAGTGCTGTAGGATACAACTGCCAACCAAGAACCGTATAATCAGTAAAACTACCTTTCACATATGAAGATAGCATATATTCCCAGGTAAATAAAGCTGAGACAATCTTTGTAATTGCAAAGAAATTGCAGGAAGTAATTAAAGATACTCTTTGTGTTGGGAGCAAAATCTAGATGGAAATTCAAATCCACGTGAGGAACTGAAGAGTACTGGTAAAGGTAATTACATAATTACAAAATATGATATAAATTCATATGCTGTCCCTTTTCCCTTAATTGATTAAAAAAGCAATTGTCTCATATTGTATAATATGTATGTTTGTACTGTTTAGCTTATAATATATAGAAATGTAATATGTTTATCAAAGAAGCACAAAGGTGGTGGGATAAGAACAAGATGATGACTCAAACCCACAGGGAAAGGTGAAGAGAACTATAAATGGTAATTAAGAAGGTAAATAAAATAAAATGTATATATATGTACTTGTTCTCATTTCTTTTCTCAGCTTCCATAATTGACACAAAATTATGCAAAGTAGTTTGTGAGTGTATTGTTGATTTTGCAGCATATAAAAATAAAATATATAGGGAGATAATAGGATTAAAGTAGAAAGAAAAAATAAAGCTATATATGAGTAGCATTTCTACATCTCAGTGGAATTTAATATAAAAGTTGATATAAATGTGAAGATTCTGATAAACTAAAATATATGTGGTAAGCCCCAGAGCAACCACAAAGAAAACAATTCCAAAGTATAAGAAAAAAATAAGTATTGTATTTGGTCCAAAGGATGAATAAGCTATAGAAAATAAACATTTATAACTGGACTGTCTTCTTTCTTAACCAAACTTTTGTGAACATATATTAAATCTTCCTTGGCAAATTAAGGCTATCATTATGAACATAATTAATGACATAAATAAGAACAAATGGTATAAAACAATGTGAAGTTGAAATATATAGAACCATTTATTGTTAATTTTCCTTCTTGTTTTTCCTCTTGTTATCCGTCAAGTGTTCACAACGCCCTCTGTGTTCATATCACAACACATACTAACTGAGATTTATAGATTTCTGAAAAGTGAGAGTCTTAGTCTTAGCTCTAAGTCTTAGTCTTAGTCTAAGTCTTAGTCTTATCTCTTTGTGAGCCCATGGACATAGACCTTCAGGCTCCCCTGTTCATGGAATTGTCTGGGCAAGAATCCCGGAGTGGGTAGATCCCCAGGGGATCTTCTCAACCTGGGGATTCGAACCTAGGTCTCCTGCATTGCAGGCAAATTCTTTACTATCTGAGTCACCAGGGAAGCCTTTATTGGTTTATATATCTGTCTTATTTCTCTTTATCCACAGCAGTCAGCTGAGGGTACCATAAACATTTAACACTAAATACATGCTTGAATAAAGACTAAATAAAGACTTGGAGATGAACCACTTGAAGTTATTAAAATTAAGGACTCTATTTTGAATATTTACTACCCCTTTGCTGTCTGGACTCCTCCAAAAAGTTTCCAAAGCTCTTCCTGATTCTGTTATCTAATTTATCAAACAAAGATAAACATCACGCTTATTTTATGTTGTCATGAGGATTAAGTGAATTAGTGTCTAAGAACAGCACTCTGAAATGGATAGGACTTACAATAAACGCTACATGTGCTTGTTCATATTATTCATGTATGGATATGCTAGCATTTATTTTGGTTGCTCTGGTAAATCTTTTGATACTTTAGGTTCTTAGTAAATTTGAGATGGCTGAGCTTATCATAAATCACTTCTGCATAAAATTTCACATTTACTTATTTCTTTGCTATTTGCCTTTCTATTCTCCTTGTAAGCTACTCTAATTATAAATAGAACAGAACAACCACAAAACATAAGATATTTGTCTTTGGAGAGATTTGAAAATATGACTAAGAAGACAGGGAGATCTTATTTTGGAATGCTGATTTGATAGTGGAGACTCATTCAAGACAGAGACTCATGAATAACAAGGATCAGGATTTCTATATTGCTTTTATCCCCTTGGTATTCAACATGTTTTTGCAGTCTGTCACAATGACTTCTTCATGCTCACTTATCTGCTCTCTATTAAATGTTCTGATGGTTCATGTCAGAAAGTGAGTGTTGGAGCTCATACCAAATGACAGAGGATCTGTATTGTGGAATCTCATTGACTGACAGTTGACGGTAACTTACAGAAATTCTGTGCTTCCTGGGGACTTTTAAAATTATTTTAAATTCACCTCAAAAAACTGTGATAATCCTAGAGTCTTACTGAGTATCAAGAATGTAAGAACAGTGCTGAAGAAAATGGACTCCAAACATATTTAATGTTTAATCTATCATGTTCAAGGGATATAAGTGGCCAGTGGTCCAAGCATGTCACCAACTCTAGTTTCTATTTATATACTTACTATTACAAATCTTTCTATTATGTAAGTCTTCAAGTTTCTAAATAATGTTTTGCTTTGGAATTATAAGAGGCATGCTGATCTCTTCTTGGTGTGTTCATGGCACCCACATACTTTGGAATCTGTGGCATACATTAGATTTTTCAAACTAGGTATTCTGTCAGGGGCCTAGGAATCTTTCTTGATGAGAAAGGGAATGAAATGCTAAGGGAATGCAGAAGTCAAATATTAAGTTATTTCTACCAATTAAAAGCTTCTACTGAAAACCATGCAAAATGTATAAGACTATTTCCAGAAAGTAAACAACAAAGGGAAAAAAAAAATCAAACATTTCACACATCCTGAGGAAAATGGTGTAAGCCTATATGACTCTTTATGCTCTCATATAAGTGGAAATTTTCTTATTAATATCAAAATAAAACTTATTCCTTGTATGTAAGAAGTGTCACATTCTGTTTGGAAGCCCTAAAAGTAATGGTCTCTGGTAGGCAGTATTCAATGATATCCTGATATCCCCAAGAAAATATGTGCAACTAGTTAAAAATCTCTAATTTATTTCTTAAAAAATTATTTATATTCTCAAGTTTCTAACTCAAATACTGGTTTCTTCTTCTTGTTGGAAATGATTCTAATAGCTTAATCTAGAGCTTCACAAGCCTGGCGCTATTAACTTTTAGGGCTGTATAATCCTATGCTTTGAAGGGTTGCCTTGTTCATTGTAAGATACTTAGCAGAATTCCAGGACCCTCCCTCAAATTTTGATGATCCAAAACCTATCTAAACATGGCCAAGTGGTCTAGTCTGAAAAGAAGTGTTTTAGTTTTCAATACTGTGCAACAGATCACCACAAGCTTATTGGCTTAAAACACCACAAATTTATATCACACTTTTCCTGGTGAGCAGTCTGTGTTAGCAGGGTTCTCTGCTCAAGATACCAGTAAGCTGAAATTAAGGACTTGTCAGGGG